GGGCCTACGTGTGGGATCGACTCACGGGACCTACTTGTGGGGCCTATGTATAGGGCCTGCATGTGGGGCCTACAGACCAAGCCTTAATACAAACCGGGCCAACACACTGGGCCTGCAGGCCGGAGCTAAATACAGACCGGGCCTAAGTACAAACTGGGTCTAAATACAGCCTAGGTCAACAGGCTGGGCCCATAGGCAGGGCCTAAATGTGGGCCAGAGCTACAGATGGGAGCTAAATGCAGATGGGGCCGACAGACCAGGCTTAAATATGGCCTGGGCCAGCAGCGCAGGGATATTGGCCAGGTCTAAATGCAGACCAGGTCTAAATAGAGACTGGGCCAACAGCCTGCACCCACAGATCCAGCCTAAATATGGATGAGGATATTGGATATTGGCCAGGTCTAAATAGGTCTAAATCTGCACCCACAGATCCAGCCTAAATATGGACCAGGGCTAAACGCAGACTAGGACTCCCATCTTTCCCCATCTGTCCCGTTGCACAGCTCCTGGGAACACCTCCCCATCGCAGTGTGGCTGCCTTCCCCCGGCCCCGTACGCCCTACCCTGCCCTAATTTCTGCCTCCCAGCACAGGGCTGCATTTCCACACCTCCTCCTTCAGCTCAGCGCCCGGTTCTCCCAGTTCTCCCAGTCCTCATCCCCTGCAGCACACCTCGCTGTGACAGCACGTTGCCCCGGCTCCGGGTGGGATCGGGACTTCCCAGGGTGCGGAAGCAGATGCACGGAGCAGCCCGGCGGTGGGAGCCGGCAAGGAGCTGGGGAGATGCCAGTCTCCAGCTGGTACACGCAGTCCTCGTGCTGTAGCTAAACCTGCCGCGTGAAGCGCGGACAACACCAGATGTTCTGATATTGTTAGTCAGGCTTGGGAAAAAATCACGGGAACTTAGAATAAAAACATTGCTCTGGGAGCTAATTGATATTCTGCATTTCGAGCCTGTGAACACCCAACTTGAGTCACATGCTTGGATTTTTTTTTTTTTTTTTTTTTTGCTGCAACCGTAAACGCCAGAAAGAAATTAACTGAGAAGAAAATAAGTGAGATGCGTATTCACCTGACTCCAGGGGCTGGGGCTTGAAGAAAACGTGGAGTATTGCGAGACTGCTGCAATATCTGACTTGCCATTCGTGCAGCGGAGGGATCCCTGTCCCCTGATGTGATCTGGCTGAGTGTTAGGCACCTAATTTAGCTTTTACCCACCCACATAGGCTCCTTCAGTGGTTGTAACCGACGTGGCAGGGCCCGACAAGACATGGGGAAAAGGTGGTTCCTGTCACCCATCTCAGAGTGAGAGAAATTATCCTCTAAAAGTGCGTGTCTGTCTTCATCCGTAAGTGACCCACACAGCGTTGGCTGAGGCTACGCGATCTGTGTGACCGCTAAGGCTGCAGATCAGACAAAATTGTCTGGACTGGCCTTAGATCCAGGACTCGATACTACGTATGGCTACGAAATGAGAAGGAATAACCAGATCTAGACAAGAGGCTTCTTGATTTAAGTGTTTTGGAGATGAATTGTGAAAAAAAGAAATAGCTACCCTTCCAGACACAACAAGCCCGCAGTGGAAAAAAGTAAGAATTACTCTGGTAAACAAGATTCAAATAGGAGAAAGTGAATCAGCATCTGAGATGTATTTATGCTTTAAGGTGATTATCTCGGCTCCCTTCATTAACATGATAACAGCAGACTCTGCAAACAGGCACGGGGCAATACTGTAGATGTCTGCACTTTCATTTCGCAGAAGGCAGCTGCCTGGGAGAATGGGATTATTCGTGGAGAGTGAGCGCTGAAACTCCTCCTTGCTGATTCAACCAAAACAGGACGTGGTGATTGCGCTCGCCTCATCTTGTTTAATACAGAAAGCACTCAAGCATAATGGCAACGCAGTTGAAATCTGCAAACGCAGAACAGACAAACTCCTTACACGTGTGATTCCAGGGCTTCCATTCAGCATCTGCTCCCCTTCCTGCTCGAGCCGCTCGAAAAATAGCAGTTTGTTTATTTTTTGCGCAAAAATTGTCAAAATAAAAGCTGGGTAAAAAAAAAATTCCCTTTATTGCTAGAGCAGCTGTGCTGTAGGCAGAGAGCTCGCAGCAGCAGGAGTAGAAGGGAGCATCACTGTGCCTCCCTGCAAACTGTTACTAGGGCAGAGAGGAAGGTTCGGCGGCAGCAGCTGCTCTTGCAGCAAGTCCCCGAAAGAGCTTGAGGAGTGTTTAAGGGATTCCCAAATACCCTGAGCCCTCCCAGGTGTATTCATGATTTCTTCCAGCCTTTCACTGCCAGGATTGGTGAGATTTGCGGCCCCTCCGTTTCCAAACAGAGAATTACAGGAATTAGCCAGGAGAAGCACGCAGGGAAGACACTTGCCCACTGCAAGTCCCCACCTCATTGCCTGTACCCCGAACATGTCAGGCGGCAGAGCCATGGGGAGGAACTAGCTGAAGGGAGACAGTCACCCCTTCAGCTGTGACAGGTGAGTTTCTGCACCTCTAACTCACGCACATCTCTGCAGTACGTGGCCCAAATCATGCGCTAAGGGGGGTGATTAACGGAAGAGTCACGCCAAGCTGTGCCTGGGCAGGCATGCTTTCGCTGCTGCATGACCTCACCCCCAGCTTTCCACTGGCACCCGCTGGTTCTGCTCCCCTGGGAGTTTTTTCTCCTCTGGGTTCTTTGAAAATGTAGTTATTGCTGAAAACACCTCCACGTGGGTGACAGCACCGGGCTCCAGCTCTGGAGGAAACCCAAAGTTGTCTGATAACATTGCAAAAATACCCACATTTAGAAAAACAGAACAGTTGGTGATTTCATGATTTCATGGGTCTGCAGTTGCCGATTCTTTGTGCCACTTCTTTCCCTGCACTTTAAAAAGCCTTCCCTTCTTCCTTACGGCTCACCTGGGTCTTTGTTATCCATGAGTTATAGTCAGCAATAGATGAGTAAGTAACTCCTGCGTCTGCGTTGTCCACAAATGCGTGTGGGCAGCTCCCCCCCGTTTGAAGAGCCCCAGCAGTCTCTGAGAGTGGAAAAAGCAAAGTGGGATTGGGAAAGCAGGGCCTGGTGGCACTGATTATATCCCAGCATTATTATATTTCTCAGCCATGTACCACAAGGTGTCTCCAGCAGTACAGGCACTGCTGCAGGGTTTGGAGGTTGCACCTCAGCGTCTTCCCCTGGGCTGGGGCACGGCAGGGACCCTCGCAGGCGCAAGTGCAATCCCTGTCCCTACTCTCAGCAACTCCCAGCTCTACAGTCTTACCAGTAAGAATCAGGTCTCCATCCTTCGTTAGCGGAGATGCTTAATTGCTGAGAGCAAGTAATTTTCTTGGGGGTGAGCTGAAGCCAAGATTTTTCTTGCTTTTCCTTGTCTTTACTTCCCTGTGTTTTACAGTTTCCTCCTTCCTTTTTTTTAAACCAATTTCTTTTACAAATATTTTTAAAACACCAGTCAGCATGAATTAACTTCCGAAGTCCATCTTAGTGATGGTCAGTTAAAATGGGATATTTTTATTTGTTTGAAAGAGCAAATAGTAAACATTCATTTTAGCACCCGTGTCAGGGCCTGGCAGGCTGAGCTCGTGCGCTCAGGCAGCCTGACCTGCAGCCTTGCAATACAGATGGCTGTTTAAGTCAACAGGGTAATTTGTGGGTGACAGGATGACTCACATAAATTAAGAGCTGGAGGAGCATTAAATCATAGGGTTATATTTCCACCATTTCCTTTTTTTTTTCATTTTGCAAAAT